TCCAAACAAATAGGCATACCTGTCTGGTGGCAATTAATTGTGCCGTAGGAAAATTCTCACCGCCGGCCTGAATGTGTACTGCACAAGTGCGCGATGTCGTAACAGGTTGCTGGGTCCATTTGACGTCGTGCGCTTTTTACTTCCCCTTTTTAGCGGAAATTCGATTTGCCCCTTCCCAGTTGTTTTTTCCAAGATGGCTTTTCCAAAATTGCAGTGAATTTTCCCATTGAGGGAGGCGTCCCTTTTAAGAATAACTAGCACATTTTTTTGCTCATAACTACACGTACGCGTGTGTGTTCATGTAGGAAAACCATGTATGCGGTAAGGTCCACGAAAAAAAAAAAACACCGCTGAAGAGTGAAGCAGCACAAAAAATGCAACTTCGCAGTTACCCAAATGGGTTTGATAAAATCAATTGCGTTGAAGGAGGGAGATCTTCCTAGACTTTTTTTTTTTTTTTTTTTTTTTTGTTTTCCCAATTTGTGAGCACATCGCAAGGGTGGGAAAGTATAACCAAGATGGGCATCAAACCAAATAGGTCTACTTGTATGAACATAAAACAGAGAAGGGGGACATGCATCAATGTACAAATTATCACAACAATATAGAGGAATGAATTATTCACATGTGTGTGCAGTTTAAAGAACACTTCGTCTTCAAACAATTTTGCTTATCCTCCCTTTTTTGTTCCAATTTGTTGTGGCAAGTTCTCTGCGCTTCAATTCACAACTCTGAGTTGACTTCCCCCGTTCTGGTAAAACTAAACTTGGGGACCGTCTTCACCGTAAAGGGAACCAAATTGTCGACAGAAGATTTGCCCATCATCATTTGTGTAATGAAATTTTTGATGGACTGTTCAGAATAATTCCCCTTCAAAATGGAATAGACATTTTTCGAAAAGCTAATGGCAATAACAGTGGGGAAACCGAAAGTCAGGTTTAATTTCTGCACAATGTCTAGTTGGTCTCCTGCTTGAGTCCACAACAGAGTGACTGGTAACCTACTAACATCTTTAATGGCATTGGTCAGTATTTGCACATAGGACTTAAAATAACTGAGTTCAGTGTCTTCTTTGTTTGGTAGAATGGCTAAGAGACATACGTCTTTTTCGCAATATTCATCAAACACTTGTTGAGAAGTTAACTGAATTACTTCCTTTTTTTCTGAATAGTATTTTAAAAAAAATTGATACATGTCCTCTACCGTTCTAGAGTCGTTATATTCTACAGCACTATGTGATTTTTTCTTTCCTGAGGGGAATAACCTAAAAGATGGATAGTGCCTTATTTGATAAGTTTGCGCTGATCGCTGTTCCACTGTAGCGTCTATTTTCGCAATTCGTGCGTTCTTCAAATGTGCTACTTTTTTTGCTAGTTGGTCGAACATGGGGTGTATCGGTTTGCTGTGCCCACACCATGGTGCGTAGAAAAAGACAAACCAGACGTTCTCATCATCCTGTAACACATTGTTATCAAAATTGCCATCATTTAGTGTAATTACTTTGCCATCGTTTTTTTTCTTTCCTTTTTTCTTATAGGAGCTTTTATTCATATCATCGAGGTCGATATTTAGCTCTTTCAAACGGTGCTTTTTTATACTATCATATACAAAGGAAACCACTTCTTTTATTTTGTAATTCCCATCAAATTTCTCCATATCTTTTTTACTGTCCTTTGAGAAGAAAACGTGTATACTTGGGAAGGTTTCAATTTTGTACTGGTTAATTATATCTTCATTTTTTACGGCCAAAACTGTTATGTCGTCTTTTATCGTCTTGGCTAGGCTGGTGAAGTCGTTCGCAAAACTCCTGGAGGCTCTGCACCATGTTGCGTAAAATTCGACTAGGCAGACTTTTTTTGCACTTAGCAGCTCTTCGAACTCTTTGGGGCTCTCCACTGTTTTGATTTCCTTCACATCTGTGTACAAACCCAAGGCGTGCCTGGGACACAGGCCCGCCAGGAGCACCAGAGAGCAAATTAGGGGGCCCACGGGCTTCATCCTCGTTCGGGTACACGGTCGATCGCGGCGTCTAGCGCAGTGAGGAAGAGAAGCAGGGGGGGAAAGGAAAGGAAAAGAAAAGGAAAAGAATCGGAAAAGAATCGCAAAAGAATGGGAACGAAAAAGGAGCGGTGCTCACGGAGAAGTGACCCCTGAGCCGAAAAACGCCCTGATTTTTGCAACTTCCTACAAGTACGTAACTATGGCAGTTAACGAAGGGGGCTCCTTGGAGGAGGGCCAAAAGGGGAATGTAGAAATGGTTTAACAGTATACGCACGTAGGCACGTTTGGCAGGTGCTCTGCGGTGTTAGCTTAGAAATGAAAGAAAAAAGAGAAAACAAAATGAAGTGAAAGAAATAAAAAAAATAATAACCGTGCCATACACATTGAGAATGCGACCGATTGAGTGGGAACGGGCAACCCGGAGTGGCCGCAATTGTGAAGTGGAATTATTTTAGTGCTCCTTAATGATGCTACTAGCAGAGCCACTTTGTATAGTGCTCCCCATTGGCCTCTTCGTACCAGCAGCACCAATTTAACAGCCTCGATTTGTGGGACGCAGGAGAGTTTAACCAACTGGTAAGTAAAGAGTGACACTCTTAGGGAAAAAAAAAAAAGATTACAAACCGAAAATGGAACAGGAACCTTATGAGCAGTATACCAACGGGTGCAAGAAAAAAAAAAAAAAGAAAAAAAATGAAGGAGCCAGTATTCTATGCGCATATGTAAAGTAAAACAAGTACATGTGTTAATCCCTGCTTGGTAGAAATATCTGCATTCGCTTACATGTGCACACTATTGCAGAATTGGGGGGAACGCAAAGGAGCTTAAAAGGGAAGGACCCCCCACAAAAAAAAGGGGGCTACGAAAGCTTGGCATAATTTATGCCTAATTTTATTGGCAATATAATATCCTACTAACGCGCGCCCCCCAGGGGAGTAGAAGCCACCGATTAAAGGGCGTAATCATATGGTCTATTTTAAGAGGAACGCTATGTGGCCACTCTAAAAACACCAACGGGGAAACACTGACACAGGGGATGATTCGCAAAATAGTTACTTCTGCTTGGGCAAAAATACAGCTAATCCGTATGTGTGTCAATACGGGGGGAAGAGAAAACACCGCCCATGTGTAAGGATGGGTAAAATAAGCTACCAGAAGCTGTTCTGTCAGTACGCCGTTGTGTTAGTACGCTCTTGAGGATAAAAAATTGCGCGAATGTGTGCGTATATGGTGCCACCTGGAGAGTTGCCTTACACGGCGTTCTGTGGTGCAAAAGTCCTTCCATACGCTTAGGCATACGTAAATGCAAATCTTTGATCCCCGTGGAACGACTCACCCCCCTCGGCTTTCTCTGCTACATCCCTTTCAGCCACCAAATAATGAACGGCCAATGTTTCCAAAAAATTAGATTTCATATTGGTGCTCCATCTCCCATGAAAAAAAAAAAGAAAAATGACACAAGCCATGTTCCTGCAACCCCCCAAAGGGAGACGTAAAATTGGAAACACAATCCACACGCTATGTCAACATATTTGTAACAATTTGTTCGTATAAGCATGTGGAAGGGAAAAAAAAATTAAAAATAAATAAAAAAAAAAAAAATATAAAATATAAAAATAAACAAACAAATAAAGAGACCAATAAACAAACAAATAGCCCCCACAGTTGAACACTACACAATACACTCTGACTACTTTTCGCTAAAATGGAATAAAAAAAAAATTGAAGTTTTCATTTTTTGCGCTTCGTTCATGTGTCGTGCCTCCTACATGCGCGTTTCCCATTTCCGAAAGGGACTTGTCCCTCTGTTTTTGTACGATTGCGACGCCGCTTCGACATTTTTGCAAAAGATGTTCGAGATTGTTTTATGTTCCCTTTGGGCTAAGTACCCATTATGCAAAATGCAACAAAACATCGTCTATGCGAACATCGTGCTGTTTATGAGTGTAAATAGGCATAATTGCGCAATGTAAAGAGTTCTTTTCCTTTTCAGATGAGATAATTGTGATAACTCTGCGCCTCTTTAAAAACGGTGCTGCGCTACAAGCTCTGTTCAGGAAATTATCCTGCGTTTTGATTGCCCCCCCTCAGTCATAACTTATCGGAAGAGTGACGCGAAAATGAAAAAATTTCCCTGAAAATGGAACTTAAAAAGGAAAAGGCGCTATAGATGCGCAGCGTATATACACGTACATATGCGAATGCACGTATGTTTAACTAATCCCGACAAGGTTAAGAAAAAAATGTAAAAAAAAACGTGTCGAAGGAAGAAAAAAATTAAACCACAGTTAAAGCCAAAGTTGAAACCAGCGTTGAAACCAAAGTTAACCTCATTTTGCCATTCGCATTTGCCTTACATGTAATTAATGCCTAGTTGTTTGCCGCTACCGTGTCAGGTAAATTCATTTTTGAATACCCGGGCGCAAAGCGAAGGCGTACTTTTTCCCCGTCATTTTTCAAACATGTATGGTTATTCTTGGTTATGCCAATTTTTAAGCGAGTGGACTGGCGAGTTTAATTTCTTTGCCAACCAGAGAAGTTCCTCCGGTGAATAGCGCTGCTTCGGCAGGTGAATATTTTTTTTTTGCATTTCTGCAACTTTGCAGCGTGGCAACTCTGCAACTTTACAAGACCATTTTTTCTACATTTCCAGTGACCGCTTTATGAGGAAATTTTATCTCCTCAGAACGTATGCACTTATAATACACTGCGGCTTGGGGAAGAGTACCAATTTTTTCGGGGCCGTGACCCCACAGAGCGTAAATTTGAAGAATTACACCCGAACCAGGAATAGACCATTCCCGTTAATTGAGAACAACTTAACCGAAGGGGGAGCGAATAGTAGGGAACGCATGAATACTCCTCCCCGCGACCAGAAAAAGGTATCGGCGTCTTCCTGCAGATAGGTTATACCGACCTGGCCAACCGCACAACAATAACAATAACAACTTGGAGACTCTTCCCCTCCACCCCCACGTAGGGTGACGCGCATCAGATAAATGGATAAGTTTAAAAAATGCAAAAGGAAAAATTTGGGGAGTTTGAAGAAGACGAAGAGTTTTCTTAAAAAAAAAAAAGACCGCTCGGATGTGAGTAGTAGTGGGAGAAGCGCGACGAAGGACTTCATCACAAATGTAATTATAAAATATGTGAACCAGAGGAAATATGAAAAGCAGAAAAATGGAGCCAACGTGGGAAATGAACACTACAGGGAATTTTTTGCAGACGAAAATGCAAGCGAAATATTAAAGGAACGATTGTTTGGAAAAAAAGAAATTAGAGAAATAGATATCCTTAAAAATTGCCTCCTTTTTAATGAAAAGAATGAACTTCTCCAAAAAATAAGTTACACAATTCTGTATGATGTTATAAAAAAATGCATAGACCACGAACATGTGTTGATGAAGGTGGAAGAATTAGGATTCACAGCTGAAAATATAAGAGACAAAAATGACGAAAATGTGAACATATGCTCCAAGTACAAAGCTGAGCTTTTTTTTGTGTACATATATAAAAATTTAAAAGCTATAAAAATTACCAGAAATTTTCAATTGCTATGTAAATTTATGAGTGTCATCAAATTCGTGACGAGTATAATGCCCTATATGTACAAGGTAAAATTTCTATTTTCATTTTGCTCCATTTTTAATATATACCAGAAGGAGTGCGAGAACAGCAAGCTACAGCCAACGATGTTGGGCATAACCAAAAGGGGGGGTTACAAGCAGGGCGACAAGGGAGCCACACAGAATGACACCCTTTTTGTCCATTCGGATGAGGAAGACCAATTTTTCCATCTCTTTTTTGAGCTCCTGAATGAGTTAATAAATTTGGGTGAGAATTATAACACATACGATGTTCACTACCAGATGTTTAACTTCTTCGTCTTGAGGTGGATTTTAGTCTACTTCCAGAATAAGCACTCGTTTTTTGCGAAGGGAAAGATGGTGCATTCTTTGGCCAAGGTGAAGTACGTCATGTTGTTATTCACCCTGTTAAAGAGGCTACACGAAAGTGCAAATGGTATGGAGGATCGGGAGAGGAAGCTCCGCGACGGAGGGGGAAACGCTCTGAGTGGGACCCACATGGGGATGAATAATAAAAGCGCAGAGGTAGACTATGCGATTTACAACCAGCCTGAGGAGGAAAATACAAATCAGCTTCTCTTTCGAGAAGAGCAGCCGGCCTTGTTTAAACACGGAACGGCCCACCCAAGTGAAGGAACCCTTTTAGACGTGCTACACCAAGATGAGAACTTAAAAAATGAGAAAATAAAAAGTAAAAAAGTCGAAATAAAGACCATGTTGGAAAGCTTTTACGATAAGGTGGATTTGCGCGTGGAAAGGAGGTTGGAAGAAGTGAAGGACACTATGAATACTCTGACGCAGAGTGTATTTATGACGGCATACAACTTAATTAGCAGCATGCACATTGTGCATAGACATATCGCTTTGCTGCATTTTTCTTTTAATTTTTTAAAAATGAATGTTTTTGAATATTCCTACTTTATCATTTTTAATGCATTCCAATTGCTTAACAAATTGTTAACGGTCCAAAATTTTGCAATTCATCCGATGATCTTTTTGGCTACCCAAGAAGTTTTCACCTTTTACGAAAACGTTGTCATTCATTTGTACAAGGGAAAAAGTGACTCTCAGGAGGAGTTTTATCAATTTTTCGAAAAGTTCAATTCCAAGCACAGTGGAGTCTATTCAGCCATTTTAAAAAGAATTTGGAGCTTGTACATGCTCATCATTTCGGATGAATATGTCACAAAAGAGAAAGAAGGGAACCCCACTGAAGAGAAGACCCATTTTATTCTTAACAAGGTGGAAGAACAACCAGGAACACCAGAAGATACCAGGAAATTAACAACTATGTTAAGAATCAGTGATTTGGATTTCCCAACAGAGTACAAAATTATCATCCTCAAATCTGCAGATGAGACATACAGAAATTGCCTAACGAATTGTCTCTCTAAGATATTTCGCATACTAGGCTTCAGTACCTTTTTCGAAGAATATTTTTTTTTCTCCAGCAGGGAGTTGCTGTCTAAGGATGTGTTCATACTTAACCGAGTTCTAAAAGATACCAACAAAACGTACCATGGAGGGAATTTCAAATTTCTGATGAATTTTTTCTACCCTTTACTTATGCATTTCATCGATTTGTACGAAAAGGAAGAAGAGTACAGCATTAAGAAGAAGTGCTTTTTAAGTTATATAAAAAATGTACTGATCCATTTCTCGCGGGCATTAAATGACTGCATCAATTTGTACTACTTCGTCTCTACCAACGTCCAAGACTTCTACATATTAGTGACCAAGTTTACCAACTGTAACGACTTCCACTTGCTGCCACTGTTTGTTAACTTTTTCGAAAATTTTTATCTGTCCACGCTGAAGGCTAACGGCGAAGGAGCGCAATGGTCTCCCCATGGTGCAGATTATCACAAAGAGAGGAAAGACGTTAAATGCAAATATAGCCTCTTAAATTTAAAGAAGAATAATTTCTTCTTAAATCACGTTTCGGACAACTTGCTGAAAATATTTTTGCCAAGATTTATATCCATCGTGACGTCTCATTATGAGCAGAAGTTTGCCAGCGTTGGTTTGCAGTCGAGCGTAGATAGCACCAGTGTATCAATGGTCATTGAAAGTTTTTCAAATTTGCTACACGTTTCTTTACATTTTTCTTCCGACGCAAATTTGAGTGAAGTGTTAAATCTCCTCGAACAGGTTATCCTGAGGAACGAAATTGAGAAGGAAATTTATTCCCTCATTAGCATAATCATTGTGCTGAAAATTTTAACTCCATTTTTTACATATGAGGAGCTCACCCTCTGCTCTTTGTATTATCAGAAGTTGCTGCATTTGGTGGCCGAACTGGTCAATAGGAAAATGTCCATAACGGGCTCAATTATCGGCTTGAGGGGGAGAAAGGCGGACAGAGGGGGTCGCCCACAAGTGGAAAAACGTACAGGAGGAGGCAATCACCCATTGAGAGGAGCAGAACTCAATTGTTGCGCCAACCGCATCAGTGGAAATACAAATGCACAGTTTGAACTTTCACCCCAGGTGAATCGAGAAATGTGTTCAACTGCAACGGACAGTCAAAATGGCCTCGCCACGCTGAGCAATAATGGAAACCATGGAAACTTGATGGAGATTGACTGCGTTAGCGCCCCCTTTGACGACGCGCCCCAGGTGAAGGCTACCCACAGTGAAGGCATCACCACCCCTGCGCGTAGCAAGATAGGGGGAAATTCCAAGAACACCCCACGAAGGGGCAGAAGGGACCAAAATGGTATCGCCAAAAAGGGAAAAATTAAAGGCCTCATTAAGAAGGAAAAGCGAAAAAACGACTCAGCAAAGAAGGAAAAGGCAAGAAGAACAAGAATTACGAAAGAGTTAAAAATCGACATCGAAAAGTACAAATTTGTGAGGATCCTCATATATGACAATGTTGCGGCGCTGTTTAAATATTTCGGTAATATATTTTCAAAAAAAAATAACTCCAGTGGTGGGCTCAGCCGAAATATCGGCTGCACGGCCAGTGGGACATGCGAGGGGGTACCAAGTGGCAAGCACCACATGAGCAAAAACGAAATGCTCATCCTTAGCAACATATATATGGACGGCAGAGTGGTCCAGAGCAAACTTCCCGCCATGATGACCAAGGAGAATATCCTCCCCTTTTTCGACAACCTGGACAATTATAATATAAATAAATATATTAAAAAGTTTTATGTGTACTTAAATGGACTGACGTTTTATCTAAAAGAAGGGAAACTTCTCGATAGGGATTACTGCCACGACTTATTTTTTGAAATTCTGCCCATCATAATGAAGGCCTTATTTTATATCAACAAAAAGTTTACCACCAAGCTGAGGAGAAATAGCCTATTCGAACACATAATCCATTTGGGGTCATCAAATTTGAAAACATTATTTCTCCACGTGACGCCGGGTTTGTTGGTGGAAGAAGCCAGTTCCAAGAAGATAGCCGTCTACCTGCTCTACTTGCTTGTAAGAAGATACAAAATTGAGTATGGGGACCAGGTGCAGTTATTTAGTGTTTGCGTGTCCCTATCAAATAGTAGTGAAAAGAGCCTGTTAAAAATTTTCTTAAAATTTTTGCTAACATGTGTAAAACACTTTAGAAAAGACGTTATCCTGGGGAACATGACCGAGCTCATGAATCTTCTTAATACCATTGCACAAATGAAGAGGGGAGTTAACTACCTCGTTGAGAAATTTCTATATCGATTATACCCCTTTGTAAGCGAATCGGATGTAGTAACTGAACAGAAGGAGAAACCATACGATGTAATTATGCCTTATTTATCCAAGGCGAATAGGAAAATATTCAACAAAATGGTACAGAAGAAAGGGCTCAGCGGTACTGGAAATAGGAGCGATAGAAGCAATGATGATGATGGTGCTGCTTTGGCGGATGGTGTGCGTGGAAGGGGAATGACTCACCATCAGAGAAGACACAAACTGAAAAGCAAAAGTGAGAACACAGCGGCGACCTCATCAGAGGAAGGGTCATCCGTCATGTCTTATGCCATGTCGGAAGATGATGCACTGTCCGAATCGAGCGGATCAGATACCTACAACGATAGTGCGCCCGAGCAGGGAGCGCTGCTCCGGAACAAAGGAAGAAACAAACGCGGGAAAAAAAATACCAACCAGGTGAACAGGCGTAATATGAAGGGAAAAAATCAGAACCGCAATTTAACCACCTTTTTCGATAATTTAAAAAGCATGCGAGGACAGAAGGAGACGAGCTATATCAAAACCACCGTGCATGACATTCTGCAGAGCCAAAATAAAAGAAAAAAAAAAAAACAGAAAGGGAAAGAGGAAGAGACCAATGTCAAAATTAACAAACACGTAAGTGATGTACTGAACAACTTGGGAACCTCCCTTTTTAAGAACAAAGCAAAGTTTAACATCCCCTTTTCGAATGAAAAGGAAATAAACGACCTCTTTGGTGAACAGTATTTCGTGAAGCGAGGTTTGAGGAAGGAAAAGAAAAGGGCAAGCGCAGGAGGAAGTCAGCCTGGCCACCGTAAATCCGACTATGACCATAGCGATGGTGATGAAGACGAGGGGGATGACGCTAATGTAGAAGTAGGCCTGGATGGAAAGATAATTATCCACCCTGCAAATGTAAATGCGCAAAATACAAGAAATAAAAAGAAAGACGATATGATTAGCAGAAAGTATAACCCCGTCAATGAGAAGCAAAACATGCACGCCAAACTGAAGTTACACAACAAATCGAGAAATAAAAAAAAAACGAACAACTTTGTCACGGCAGATAAGAAGGCATACATATCCAAGAAGGGGAAGGGGGACATTATCAAAAGGGACAAACTACTTCCGTACTCGTATGTTGAGTTGAAGCCAATTATGACCAAAGACAAATTTAGGACCAAAACGCTCCACGCATTTCGATCAATTAAAAATAATTCCAAAAGAAGAGCGAGGAAGGGGAAGAAGTGAAGGGTGTCGCAGCTGTGTCTGTGCAGTGGGCCGCGTAAATGCGGTTACGCCTTTTTTATGTGCATTTTTCGCGCCCACGCGGTTGGGCCCTACGGAAGGAGGGCTACACCTAATTAACCTTGTTGCTAAAGCTGGAGGGGTGAATAAAATTGGGACGTCGCTTTTTACACCCGTCCGTCGCTCCCCTAGCTATGCTCGACACCTGGACCTACCAAACTTGCTGCTCATTTTCACCATCACCCTTTTTGTTCTATTGCCTTTGTACACTACCGCTCACTATTATTTTCCATTCTACACATTTTTGCCACTCATGCTTGTGGTATTTTTTTTTTGACCTCTATGCATTCCCGTTTTCAACCCTTGAGATAGTGAAAACTGTTTGTGAAAAGGAGGAAAATTTTTATTTTATGAGTGAAAAGGGTGAACGCAAAATTTTTCCTCTTATCCACTGTCGCACAATTTGAAAATAAAAACTGAAGTAAAAATTCGTTCTCTTTTTTTTTTTTTAAAGCATTTTGTTTGCAACGAATGTATGGACTGTCTCATCGGGGAAAACGTGACCAACTGACACACTAAGTTGCGCCAGAAGGCAGCATAGAAAGCGCCAAAATCGGAGAAGGGTTCATGGGGCGTAGAAATAAAGTTCGTGCGTGGATGAAGCCGTGCATGTATGCGACCAAGCGTGTATGCACCGCGCGGCAATTTTGTGGTACTAGCAAATTGCACTTGAATGTTAAGCGGATTTTTCTGTCCTGCCATGTTGCAATTGTTTGTTCGCATGCTTGCTTTTTCGCCTTTTTTACCCTTTTGGTCACTTTTTCTTTTTTCACTTGTTTGCCGTTTCCCCCCTTTTTTTTCCTTTTTTTTTTTCCATCATTGCGCGCGTCCGTTTTTAACACCAAGGGGGAAAATTGCCCAAAACGCTGGGGTTTTACGCGGAAAAAGGGTGAAATCGGGTAAAGGATACATTCTCCTCCTGTAGGGAAGCGCGAAAAGTGTATCGCGACGTAAAGGAGATCCACGTCACGCAAAGCAGGACAACGCAGCGTAAAGTAACGTACTGCAGACGCGGATGTGCACACTGCCCAGTGGGACGAATTGACCAAACAAGCAAACCACTTGGGACAGCCAAAAAGGGGTTATACACTCCCCCAAAATACCCACCAAGGAATAACGCGAAGCACATGGCGTAACCACTACTTCTCATGTAATATGAGTCTACTGGACGCGCTTATCCCGTACCCAGTTGTAATTACAAGTGCACGCGTGAGAATTAGAAGCCCCCAGAAGGGAAGGTCGGTAAGGTGTATCTCCTAACAAAGGTAAACCCTACAGGAATTTGCCATTACCAGTCGATTGAGGAGTTTTTTTCCCCTAATTCTGCGAATGCAGGGATGCTTCTTGTGCATATCTACACGTACGGGCATGTAATAATTTCAATGCCCCTTCATGTGTGCATTTACTTTTACAAAATTGTGAAAACGTGTAACCAAATGAGAAAATGCTGAAAAGGGCACTTGCTGAAAATACGGGGGGGTGTAACCATCCCCCCCAGAAGGCGAGGTCAAAATCTGTTTCCATCTTCTCATTTTTTAAAAAAAAAAAGAAAGAAAAAAGCAATTCCAATGAGAGCGTGATTTCCACAAGCAACGACTCTTTTGAACTCCCCCCCGGACAAGGGAACAAAAAGGAACGGAACGGTGAAGGCGGAAGGGAAAAACAAAATATGATGGACGAAGAATCGGCGACAGAAAATAGAAAGGCAAAATTCAAAAACAACACCACAAACACTGCACATAGCGAATACACACAAAATTACAAGGAATGTCAAGTGATGAAGAATTCTCATTTAAAAAAAAAAAGAGAAAGTTTTTTCCAAAAGATTAATATATTGCAAAAATTTAGAAATTACAAAAAAAGAAATGCCACCGGTACATTTCACGCGGGTCATAACGCAAGCTCTGCATCAGCTAATGATGAAGACAGGGAGGAAGAAACAAGCAACTTAGACAAAAAGGGAAGTTGCGCCGATGTGGACTACACAAAAATGTACACCAGTTTGAAGAGGAAGAACAACAACAACAGCAACAAAAGCTACAGCATAGAAGACGAAATAAACAGTTTGAAGCACAAGGCTCAAATGCTGCGAAATAACATTTATTTTAATGGGAAAAAAAAAGCGGATAAAGGAAAGCTAATCCATAAACATCTTAACTGCAGTAGTGAAATTATCCGTAATGCAGACGAGAGAGATTCTTCTTCCTGTGAGGTAAACTCCCTATTAACAAATTTTAAAATGAAGAGCAACAAATTGAAATGTGATGAAGGGGACTCAGTAGACCAAATGGGCAACTCGGGTAGGGTGCAAAAGGTGGAAAGAGAATACATCTTTGATAGGAGCTCGGACGTGGAAGTATGGGACGAGGGGGGTTTAAGTGATCAGGGGAAAAGTGTCCAAGGGCACAACACAGACGAGCAACAGGGACTCAACTCCAACAGCAATGTGATAGATTTTAACGAATACCTGTACGGGGAAAAGAGGGAAGATGAGGCCTATTTGACTGAATCCAGAGGGGCGGAAAGTGGAACTAGTGAGGGGAAAGTTTCCCGAAACGTTGACGGAAGCCGTGAAGGCAGCAAACTAGGTAGACGAAGCAAACGCGATGGTTGCCACAACGGTGACCGCAATATGGATCGCAGCGTATGGCACACCCAGGAGGAGCTCAAACGAACAAGTGAATTCTCCTTCTCAAGTTTCTCAAAAAGTAAAGGCGAACTGGTGCGAAACGTACAGTCAAAAATAAACGATAATGGGAGAACGATCAATAACTACGTTATGTATAGTAACAATAGGGGTGGTGCCAATTTAAAGCCTCATAGCAGAACGGAGGCGACAACTACCCAAGAGGGGGAAAAATTAACTAGCAGAGAAATAATAACTATCAGTCAGTATGATAAACAAACGACGAATGAAGACATACACAAAGGGTGCACTATATCGAAAGGGCACAACGATGACCATCACGAACAAGGGAAGAACGCATTAGAATGTATTCCCATCGATAGGGAAGAGAATTTGGCACAAAAGGAAATAATAATTAAGTTAATGTATAATAATAATGGGATTTATTTTAACCAAGATGACAATGGGACAGGAGGCGTTCCTTCAGCACGTGCCAACACGGCTAAGGTCCCGTCATATGATAAAGTGAATTCCCGTGTGTATGGAAGCAAATCTGTAAACGTAAGCCGAAGTGGAAGCACAATTTTGCATCCCCTTCGGCAGCAAGGCACATATGAGAAGATGACGAATCAGAAAAATGGTAACAATGAATTTGTTAACGTATCCAATGAAGATGCGCATAAAAAGTTTAGCAGTCCAGAAGCTAGTAGGGGGTATTACTGGGGAGGTAAATCTCAAGGCAGTGTACCAAGAGGGGATACGCATTCTTTGGGGAACCCCCAGAATAAGTGCAGCAACGGAAATGAGAAAGGAGAAAAAGAAAAAAAAAAACACCAAAATGGCACAACAGATGAAGGAATCGAAGAAGGGAAAAAAGACAACATAATCAATAAGTACCTTCTTGACCCGTTATATAATTTATTTGTTCAGCCCAAGGAAGAAGCGGATGACCCACACCTTCGGAACAATAATATTAGTTTGCCACCCCCACGAGCTGGAAGGAACTACACCAGCGAATTGCAAAAGACGTACAGAGCGTTGTATGATATATATGATGGATCGTATGCAGGTGGTGTGCAACACAAAGCACATCCAAAAACAGACGGCAGTATGAACGTGGTGGACCGCTCGTTCAGTCGAAATGGGGACGGCAACACAGGAGTGACATCCCCCGTGGAAAGTACGGGAATTCCCCTGGATAACCAAATTGATGGGAGCAGAATATATATGTGTCCCCTAAGTAGGAGCAAGTCCATGAATAAAGAAAATGCGCCACCCTTTGAGCATATTCAAAAGGAGGCATATAATTTGAGCGTCAAGGATACCCACCATGGTTACCTAAATAAGGCTAGTTTGTATGATACACATTTTAATACGTTTCATTTGAAGAAGAAAAGAAGAGAACCAACGTTCAGGAGAGGAGGCAATGGCAACTTCCTCAGCATGAGTGGACTTGCAAATTGTTATAATAGCCCCATTAAAAATATGTGCACCTTTCTGGAACACAATTTTGTGAGAGGAAGCTACTACCCCCGCCAAGAATGCCTCGCCAGTAAGTTTAAGGGCAGAAGCTACACCTCTTGTAAAGGGAACCAAGGGTGTAGCGGATCCCCAATCGGGGGGCAGCAAAGTGGCATCATGAAAAAGTCATGTACATTTCATGGGTATCAAAATGACCTGCACAAGGATGGACAACCATATGGGTACCGGGGGACCCCACCCGCGATGACCCCTGTAGTAACTCCTATGGTGAACCCTGTAATGACCCCTATCGTAACAGGCATGGAAAAACCCAAAATCATCCCTGTAACACCCCCCAAGGAGCACACATTGCACAACTGCGGAACGTACTGCCCCGACGTCGGCGGAAAATCCCACCCCCCGGTGAACCAAAACTGCAACGCAAATAATGTCGTAAATAGCTTCGTAAGAAATGCGAACCCCGTTATGTTCCCCCAAAGGAACCCAATTAATGTAGGAAGTTCCTTTCCAAGCAAATGGGTTGCCAATAACTGGAGGCAAACCAGCACGAATGTTGGACACGCCGAACAGGTTAGCAGGGGAGGCCCCTATGCACAGAATAACAAACAGGTGCGAAGCAAAAATATGAGAAATTGTACCCCTTTTCAGTGTATGACATACGGAGATGGCAGACCAAGTAGCAGCAGAAACGACTACATGAGTAGAAATTTCTACACCCCGGTGGAGAGATTGAAAAATGAAAAATTGAGAAGACTACAGAGCTATTCATCCAAGTCGAAGCCGCCAGTGTGCCTTTCAAAAAGCGAAGGGCATGGGGAAATACAGCCAAACATGTTCCATGGGGATAAAAACGGTGGTGTCATGAAACGGGCAATGAGTTTAAACCCAGCGAGGTCTTCTTCTGCCCACCTCGCCGCGTTGGACATATATCAAGAGTGCTACGTACAAAATGAGGGAGCACATGGGGGAGCACATGGCGGTGTAAATGGAAACAGAAATGACAACAACCTGGGAGGAAGCCATAACTATATGGACAGCTGCAGAGTAGACGGTGCACACACGCGTGACGCCACTAGCAGTACTGGTAGCAGCTCATGCGATAAAAAAATTTTAGAGCATGAGGGCATAGAACCCCCGTTTATTGGTCGCCATAGCAGTGTTAATGATGGTGGTAATGCACCACGGGGTATCTGCCAATTAAGGGAGAACAAGCTAACCTTTTTTAGAAGCAGCTCATCCAATGACACCATTCGTGAGAATTACCCAATTGAGGGCCCGAAGTTTGAGGGAAAGGACAAGATGGACTATCCCCCAGTTAGCCATTCAAATAACGATGACGATATTGAGCTTTATGCTGTTAGTCTGGAACAGGACGGAGAAAACAGTGTATCTGAGGTGGATCATGAAAATGGCGAAGCTGTTACTTTCGATAAGGACCTCTATGCGAATTTCACAAATGAGGAGGCTCACCAAAGGAATGACAAAAGCGGTCATCAGAGTAGCATTGAAAAGGTGGTCAGTTGTGATGGGAACTGGGACACTCCATCGGTTTATTTCACCTATGAGGGGGAAGAGCCCTTATGGACTGTCCACAACTCTAATGTGAAAAATAATCCCTTTGAGGATCAATACAGCTGCGAGAATGGCACTAACATTTCGGATTTTCTGGCGGAGAAGAGACCAGAAAAGATTAACGACCATCCTATTCCCACCGTCATGCGGCACAATTTTTGGAGAAAAGAAGAAAGGAGAAGTGGAAACAGTTTACCTTCCCCAGTGGAGGATTATCTGCAGAGTTATGCCAACTACAGTGAGGAAAAGAAAATACTTAACGGTAAGGTGAAGGAGACGAAATGGACGCACTCCAGTGATGATAAAGAAAATGACAGTGCTTCGTATGCCCGTACCAAATGTGATGGGGGACCTAAAACGGAAGAAGCACTCCATAAGCAAAATTACAATCCAGAGGGGAGAAATATCAAGTTGAAAAAATTAACAAATAAGAAAACTTCGCCAAAGGGGAAGGTGAACCCTAATTCGAGCAATAGTAAAATAAGGCCAAGTGACAAAAGAACATGTGAAGAAATGACGAAGAAAAAAGGCGTCGTGAAAAAGGTCAGCACTGCGCTAGGTACAAGTTTGAAAAGGAAAAAAAAAGATCCCCCAAGTGGAGCGCCAAATGGAAGTAAAATGATCAGACAAGTCATTCCAATGGGGGAGGCACCACCAAGTGTCTCCCCCTCAAAGAGGAAAAAAATTGAACCCACGTCTAAAAGCTCAAACGGTGCCCACGGATGTGAAACTGCAAAACATTATAACATAGTAAACACCGTGGAGGAATCTGTGCAGGTTAATTACAACATAGGGGAAAATAAAATTAACTACAGAAAGGAAAGCATCGTAAGTTCCAGCAACGCGGTATGCAGTGTGAACAAATTAGAAGATGAAGCGATGAAAATGAGGACGACGAAAAGGGTTGGACAAATCAAAAATAGAAATAAAGATAAAAATCCCAGAAGGGGTGAAACTTACTCCAGTACATCCATTCAACGGGAAGACTGTAACTTTGTGGGGTCTTTTTCGAATAGGTACGATCCACTGTGGGCAGACGGCACCTTCGTCGGGTCCTTTTCTAGCATGTCTATCAAAAGGGAAAACTGTAGTATTGAAAAGCGTTACGCCTACTTGGGTGAGCCCCCTTCGGATGGAAATGGAGCCCCACGGGTTGGGAGCTTCTCCAGAAGGACAGCCAGGGCAAGGGACGGTGTAAAGAAGGTGAAAAAGATAAAAAAAAAAAATCGAAATTTTTCCGAGGAAAAGCAAGAAAAAAAGGCTACTACAATTTCGTCCACCTGCGTGCAGGTTAAAAAAAACGAAAGTGCAGAAAAGAAAAAAAAAAAAAAAAGAAAAAACACCAGTACGAAACGGAGAAGCGAATTAGCCATCGACTTCGCCAGCACGGGGGAGGAAAATTCAAGAGTAAGGAGGGAACCTCTCTGGGGCCCAAAGGAGAATACGGAAAAGGAAAGAGAAAGGGAAAAGGGAAACTCAGTTAACGCCCTTATCAAGAGCAACCGAATGATGCTGCAGATGGAGAGTGCAAACAGTAACTCCATGTTAAAGGAAAGACTGTATGATGAAAAAGGGGATTTACTAAATAGCGAAAGGGATACGTACATCTCACGCAAAACGGACATGGCGCAAACATCGCCAAAAGATACCTTCTACGAACAAGTTAAACAAATGAATCATATATTAAGCAATAAGAACAACAGCCATTTTTTAAATCGAATAAATTTAAACCACCTAATAGCAATTGAAAAAACATTTATCAATACCAATGTGTACATTAACAAACAGGTAATTACCCTCAGCACCAGGAGTACAAAGGGGGGGACAACCAAAAGGGGAAGTAGTCCACATGATGGCATTCTCTATGACGACAATTTCAGCATCGTCTACTTAGAACAAGATATTATTTACTTAAAGAAAATTTTTTTAAAAAAAATCCTGTCTATATTGTTAAGTCACGCGTCCTCATTTAGAGAAATCAAAATAACTATTCTGCTGTTATATTTTTTTGTTTCCTTGGAGGAAGGCAGGGTTATATCTCCCAGTCTGTACCCCCTCAGCCTAATTAACTCTTTAATACAAAAGTTTAACTTGAAAGTACGCAAGAAGTTAAAACGGGGTGGTGAAGTTGAAGGTCCCCCGCCTAACAGTTTTGCTTCGGTGGCTGCAGATGGTTACTACCACAAGGCGGGCGCACAGAGCGATGCATCGAAAAAGGGGCCCTTCGACTGTCTCTTCATTTGCGACGGGAAGAACTACCTATGCGTGAATGATAACTCGCTGCCCGGGAAAACGTGCAGAACCAAAATTAAGCTCAACAACCTCATTGGGTATTATCACTATATCAACTTAAACAGATTGACGTACTACCTCGAGAGGGCCAGCAGCGCTTGCGGCAGGGAGACAAAATAAAGAGCCCCACGAGATCGGTGTGCTGCTCTGGTACGACGCCGCTTGGCGACCAGTATTTTTCGTTTCCCCACCCCTTTTTTGGCACCGTTTCTTTCGCACCCTTTTCTTATCTTTCCCGTAAAAGGAAGTTGCAACCATATGTGCACATGCACCGTGCGATTGGCGGTCCACGGGAAAAAAAAACAAAATGATGTGCCACCAGTGGGTACTGAATGGACACACTGGGCACATGGATGAAGGGGGGAGAAGTTTCTAAATAAGCAGGGTCTAATTCGATCGATTAATTTTTTTCCTAATTTTCTTATTTACGTGGGCGCACTGTTAAGGGGAGGGATGGGGGAAGGATTCCCTTGGGCGACTTTCCACCATTTGCCGTGTTTTCCCAATTGTCTGTTCCTCCAATTGGCTGCTCCTAAACGAGCTCACATGGACGCGCCGACCCTCATGTCTTCCTGCTTCGGAACACGCCCTTCTTCATTCCCCACGAGTTATGCTCCCCCTTCTTAACTCGCTGCATGCCGTACGTTTTGTTTAAATTGTACTTTAGCATTAAGCCAAACTTGGTATCCAGATAGTTCGTCTGCATGGGTGAGAAAGGTGGGGTGTAAGGAGTGTTTAGTTTGTACAGTTGCCTCCTCAAAAGGGAGTGCGTCGAGTGTACAACTGCACCAGGCATGTGCACATGGTAACATGCACATACGTGTAGATTGAAATGTAAAAAAAAAAATAAAAAAATAATAATAATAAAAATAATAGAAAAAAAATAATAAAAAGGCAGAACCTTGTCCAATTTCTCCTCCATTTTCTTAAATCCCTCCTTAATCTTATCCATACTGGCTTGCTGCAAGGGGAAAAAAAATGTCAACACGTTCTACTTGGTACACATATCTGTTAGGCATAAAGGAAGGCACTCATTGCATTAATGGCATTAATCGCATTTCTCGCGGCGTATCGTATTCCCCACTGACGCACGCTTTTATATATGTTTCCCCTTTTCTGTGATTACCAATATTTTGAAGTCCAGATAATTTAGGAACATCAATGGCCTCTTGGCAAAATCACACACGCAGAGTACCGTCTCTGACGGGATTTTTTCATTATTGGGGTTCAGCTACGGAGGGGAATCGAACATGGGGGAGGGAAGTGTAACATGGGGTCAAACTACAAACATGGAGAACTGCCTGGCAAACATAACGGTGACTCAAATAAGCCCCCACAATCAGAAAAACGGTATCAGAATCATATGGGGAAGAATGATGAGGAATTTTACCAGTGGCTTGACCGTGTTGGACACTTCGTTGTCAAAATTGGGGTCCCTCTTAAATGCGTTGAAGATGAAAAATTGTTTCCCATACGGTTCAATCTGCGAATCCATCGGAAAGAAGAAATAAATATAAAAAGTTGACAAAAAATGGAAGAGAGACATCCAATGAGGTTATTTTCTCCTACCGGGTGTATAGCCGAGCATTCCTGAGGGGGCCAATTGAATCTTCTCATTCGGTTGTAAATCAGCTCTACAAGGAGGTAGGGGCGAAAAGCAGATAAATCTGTACAATGCATATATACGTGCACATTTATATGCACAACAGCGACAAGGCGATTTTCCCCCCTGTGGCAACCCACAAAAGGGTTTTCTTTTCCCCATTTTAGAGGAATTTCCAAAGTGCTGCACAGAAATTTATTCTCACTTTTATGCGCGTTCAAACGAAAGGCGTTGTGTCTGACCCCCGTTGCATTTTTGATAGATGACATTTTTTGTTTTTATTCAATGGTCGATTTTTTTTTTATTTGAAGGGACCCCTATAAAAAAGCGGTGGCTCATTTTTGGTGTCCCTTCAGACAAACATGAAATGATATTGCTTCTCTTTTTCGTAGCAAGCATGGATGTGTGGAATACGTGGGGCAAAAGATTCCTGCGCTGATTAACTCTGACGATGGCCCATACGTGTATTAAGACAGTGGGGTTGAGAGGACTCACATAATGGAACACCTAGCCATGAAAACGGATTCGTACAATTAATATCCCAGAGGTGATACACAGAGTCATGGACTTAACAGAACGAAAAAAAAAAAAAAAAAAAATGAATG